TGGGAGAACTTTCAATATTTTGACAAACATTTTCATGTGTCACAAAACAATCCCATTCCACCCCTCCACACACACTGATTATTAAGATAGCTTTTTATGGTTTTGACTTACACAGCCATTTTTATGGCTCCACACTGCCAAGCAAAGGGATGACTGTCCACAACAATGGTTACGATGCCCAGTACTCAGATGAGGACACTGAGGCTTCAGAGGGTCTGAGCTACATGTCCAAGGTCATGCAGACAGTAAATAGTAGAGTTTGTACTTGAATCTATACAATCTGACTCCAAGATTCGTTCCCTTAACCACGGTGCCATACTATTGTCATAGCAGGCTGTGAGCCAAAGACAGATACCATTTCTTTTTTTAATCTTTATATACGTGGTATATAAACATTGTCTGATACATGTTGAGTGAATGCAAAAAGAATAAAAGAAGAAACTATAAAAGAAATTGACATTGACGATTTGAAAACAATGAGAAAAAATTAAGACCGATTGAAATCTAAGGAGGAGCAACCTTATAGATATCCACTGTGAAAGAGAAACTTGGCTGGGCACAGTGGCTCATGCCTGTAATCCCAGCACTTTGTGATACTGAGGCAGCTGGATCGCCTGAGCCCAGGAGTTTGAGACCAGCCTAGGCAACATGACAAAATCCTGTCTCCACAAAAAAATACGGACCAAAAAATTAGTCAAGGCTTGATGGCATATGCCTGTGGTCCTAGCTACTTGGGAGGCTGAGGCAGGAGGATTGCTCGAACCTGGGGAGGTCAAGGTTGCAGTGAGCCATGATTATGTCACTGCATTCTAGCCTGGGTGACAAAGTGAGATGGGGGAGGAAGGAAAGAAGGAGAAAGAGAGAGAGAGGGAAGAAGGAAGGAGGGAAGGAAGGAAGGAGAAAGAAAGAAGAAAGAAAGAAAAAGAAAGAAGAGAAAGAAGAAAGAAAAGAAGAAGAAAGAAAGAAAGAAGAAAGAAAGAAGAAAGAAAGAAAGAAAAGAAAGAAAGAAGAGCGGGAGTGAGGAAGGGAGGAAGGAAGGAAGGAGGGAAGGAGGGAAGGAAGGAAAGACTTATTTATGCTGCTTGTGAAAGATGGTAAGTCAAGGTCGGGCGCAGTGGCTCACGCCTATAATCCCAGCACTTTGGGAGGCCGAGGTGGGTGGATCACGAGGTCAAGAGATCGAGACCATACCAGTTAACATGGTGAAACCCCGTCTCTACTAAAAATACAAAAAAAAAAAAAAAAAAATAGCTGGGCGTGGTGGTGCACGCCTGTAGTCCCAGCTACTCAGGAGGCTGAGGCAGGAGAATTGCCTGAATCCAGGAGGCAGAGGTTGTGGTGAGCCAAGATCGCGCCATTGCACTCCAGCCTGGGTAACAAGAGTGAAACTCCATCTCAAAAAAAAAGAAAAAAAGAAGATGGTAAGTCAAACTTTAAGGAGGAACCATTGTGATAGATGAGACAGTGCTGCAGTGGGATCCAGCAGTGGGAGAGAGATTGGGCCCCACGCCAGGTATAGCAGACAAGTGCAGATGGACAGACAAGGAACACAGTAGGGGGTCAGCGGATGGGAAACTACTAAGAAGAAACATCGGGGAAATGGAATTCTGGCTCCATCTACTCAACAGAACTTTTGCTGAAGGCAGGCAGGGTGGTGAGATATTGAGGGCGGTCATATACCAAGCGTGGAGGCTTAGCACTAAACTTACTTAGCAGGAAGAACAAGGAGGAAGCTCAAGTTTGGGTGTAGTTGAGCAGAGGACTCAGAGGTTAAAGTGACCATTAGTTATAGATAAGACAGACAGATCCTCTACCTTCTCATGTGAAGTGAAGGGCAGCCATTTCTGAGATGAAACATACAACCTGGTGCAGAGGTTTCTGGGGGCTGAGAAACTTCTTGTGATGGTGATTACAACTGAGCACGCCTGAGTAAGACTCTGGGGAGTGAACACTGAAGGTGTCGTATCCCATCCCATTCACACGGCAGTTCTAGCTATGGGAACGATTCCAGGAGCTCTCTCTGAGGAAGGCAAACACGGATTTCAAAGCCCCCAGAGTTGTCATTTGGAGGAGGAAGAGCAGTAGACATTCCTTACACTGGACCTGAAAACCACCTGCAATTGCGGTGTTGGAGGATGTCAGGAACGTTTCTACTCAAGCTTGAGCGAAGAGACCGAAAAACCAAACCACAGCAAAGCTCTGTTTGGAAACCCAGAGCTGCAGATGCATAAAAATAGATATGGGTCAGGCAGGAATATGGAGACGAGAACTTGTGAGCTGCAGAAGCCAGTACATTGTGTTCTGCTCTGTTCTTTCAGCCACACTTTTACCCAGGCAATAAGAATGAAACAGCAAGAGAGGCAGAGGGTTGGTAGGGAAATCAGCTTGAGTCTGAGCCGCCTTTGTTTGTTGCAAACACAGACTGCAGCTTTGCTGTATTCATGGGAAGGCAGGAGAAGACCCCAGGCAGCCTCCTCCTGCTGGCTTCCGGCTTCCGGGAAAGGCCGCCCTTCCCTTCCGGGAGAGAGCCTGGGGACAGCACACCCTCCCATCTCAGCTCAGGGCCCGACCCACCAAAAACAAAAAAAGAAACCCAGCTTTCTCCACGGGAGTCTGAAGTCACCTTCTTGAAAGTGCTCCACCTTACAGGAATTGTCTGGGAGAATGTTCTCTCTATCTCTCTGTCTGTCTCTGTTTCCTTCTGTGTCTCTGTCCCTCTCACACCTGCGCATGTGTGCGCACACACAGTGCAGTCATACCACAGCCTGAAATCCAAAAGAGGCTCCTTATAATTTTCTACACAGAGAGCAGACAACAAAGAATGAAAGAGTGTGGACACAGTCCGCTCCAGAGTGCTAAATATGTGTGCTGAAGAGAAGACAGAAATTTCACCAAAGACGTCATGGGGTTTCTGAGACATACAAGTGTAGATTATACATACTTTAAAAATCGTTTTTTGGTTGCTTCACGCTTCCTTGTGTGCAGCCCTTGTGAAAGCCGCATCACGCAAAGCCTCCATTTATCATTGGGTTTCATGCACTCGTTCTGAAATGGTCCGAACAATTCAAACTCGGAAGCAGAGATCCCTCCACCCTCTCACTCAGCATCTCCTCCTAATATTCCCAGGTCTGATATCCCTGGTCCTTTCCTGGTGATTCATTCAGAGGCTCTTCTTTGGTTCCTGACCTCAGGAATGCTGCTTCCCACGCCCCCTTCTGATTCTGAGCACTTGCTCAGCTTCTTCACACACCAGCTGCAGTTAGGATAGCCTCCTGCACTTGGGAGGGAGTCAGAGAGCATCTAGAGAAGGAGACTGTCCATGAAGGAGGCCTTTCCCTGTGGATATCATCATGATTATCTTGCCTTGTGTAAGGATGTGTAAAGCATCATTAGGATGATACAAATTTGTGATACAGAAGGCATAATTTTGAATGAAGGAAATAGATAAGAACATTTACTCATAAGAGGGGCTCTCTTAGTATTATTAATTATTAAGCTTTCATATACTAAAAGAGATAATATAGTTGAATCAATAAAATTAGGGCCGTACTTTTAATGAGTTGGTGAGAACATACCGGGAGTCATCCTGTGCATCAGGGTGAGTGAGGGTCGTCGTAATTCTGAAGTTGTGGCTGCAACCTGGCCTCCTTCTTAGACCCAGGCCCAGGAAGCCTGGCTCCTTCACACAGAGGACCCTCTTGAGTGTTAAATTGCAAGCCACTTGAGAATGGGCACAGCGTTTATTCAGACTGGAATCTCTACACCTATCACAGCCTACAATACATAGGACTGTATGTATAAGAGCACTGAGTAAATGTTAGTTGAAACGATAAATAAAATAACTTCCTTAGCCATGGCAGAAATTGCTCAACGTCATAATTTTATTTTATTTTAAATTGTATTAGTCTTTTTAATGTGAAGGTTTTGGTCAAGATCAAAACCACCAGTTCTACAGCGTTTGGGTACAAACCATGTTGCTGGGACCTCTGGGAGCACAGTAGCATAGTTTGTGGCATGCCTTGCTTTCTGGGATGAAATGAAAGGTTTTTCCACTTGATATTTTTAGTGTCCAAATTTTCCAAATAGTATTTTATGATTTTTCTTTGTTTTTGTTTAAAAATAAAGTTTGGGGGGGTGGGGAGAAGACACAACAATAGCGAAACAAAGAAAAGCCACTCGAGTCAGCATAGTCAGGGAGCTCACCGAGGCTGCTTCACCCTGGGCATGAATGACGCTCACTCAAACTGCAGCCATTTTTGATGCACTTGCCAATGTTTGTGTTATTTTCGCTTTAAAGGTGTAACAGATTGCTCCAAAATAAATAATTTAAGCGTAATGTTTCAAAAGAGTCCAAGCGTCATGGTCTCTCACTTCTGGCTTGTCTTCTGGGACTAAGCTGTGCCCAGCAGACCCAGCCCTCATTTCTATATAACCCTGCGTTAGGAGGGTTGTTTTCTTGCTTTGTTTTTCAAACTTGAATCTATTTTTCTCCATTCTGTTCCAAACGTCATAGGTTTTATCATTGTTCAGCACCGAGGCAACGACTCCTCTTACCTAAGAAAGAAAAGAAAGAACCCTGTAACGGCTAGATTCCTGATCTCGTCGGAGGAGGGCTTGGAGGGTGCAGAGAGGGCTCTGGGCTGAGAACCTAGACCAGGCCTCAAAAGAATCCACAGATGGCCGTGCTGATTCATATTTAGACTTCGAGCTCTACCTACAGCGTCCTCACTGTAACGTGAAACAGCTGACTTGACAGGGTGACGTCACTCAAAATGACCCCACCCTCCCTCAGTCAGTGGACGTCCATCTTAGTGGATTGCCTATCTTCACGGCACGGCTTAAGAAAAAAAAAATCTAATTTTCTTTTAAAGTCAAAAGCAAATTGTTATGCTGTTGTGTACTTTCTAAATGAGCACAAACGGCTTATATGATCAGGAAACACAGATAAAAACAGAAGCCGCCGGAAGCATAAACTGATAGCTGTGTTCCCATTGTCACAGGCCGTCACTGTGAGGTCCATCAGATGATCGGGAACTACATGTGGGACCCCAACACCAACAAGTCCTTTGACATCGGCGTCAACAAGGACAGCCTGATGCCTCTCTGGTGGAATGGATCCGAACCTTTGTGGGTCACTCTCATCAAGGCCAAAAGGAAGGTGTTCATGTACTACTGGCCAGGTGAGTGTGTGGGCATCCATTCCAGATCTCACAATGTCATGGAGTCTCCGAGGACAGTCAGTGTTAAGTTACTGCTTGAAGACCAAGCTGTGGTTTGGAAAATGCAATCTTTTTTTTTTTTTTTTTTTTGAGACAGAGTTTCGCTCTTGTTACCCAGGCTGGAGTGCAATGGCGCGATCTTGGCTCACTGCAACCTCCGCCTCCTGGGTTCAGGCAATTCTCCTGCCTCAGCCTCCTGAGTAGCTGGGATTACAGGCACGCGCCACCATGCCCAGCTAATTTTTTGTATTTTTAGTAGAGATGGGGTTTCACCATGTTGACCAGGCTGGTCTCGATCTCTTGACCTCGTGATCCACCCACCTCGGCCTCCCAAATACAATCTTTATTTAAGAAATATGTTAGGCTGGGCCCGGTGGCTCACGCCTGGAATCCCAGCACTTTGGGAGGCCAAGGCAGGTGGATCATGAGGTCAGGAGATCGAGACCATCCTGGTCAACATGGTGAAACCCCATCTCTACTAAAAATACAAAAAAACTCAACCAGGCATGGTGGCGCGTGCCTGTAATCCCAGATACTCAGGAGGCTGAGGCAGGAGAATTGCTTGAACCCAGGAGGCGGAGGTTGTGGTGAGCCGAGATAACGCCATTGCACTCCAGCCTGGGTAACAAGAGCGAAAGTCTGTCTCAAAAAAAAAAAAAAAAGAAAAAAGAAATATGTCATATGGACACATTGTTTTGAAAATGTGTTTTTAGCTCCCTAACCTCAGAGCAGACACAATGCTGTTTCCTGATTCTCTTGACTTAGCAAACAGTACAGGATAGCTTGCTTTTCTCATGTGCAACATTTTGGATATACAAGACAGAGAAATTGTAGGGTACTTATTTGATTTACAAAAAAAAAGTGCACCATTTCTATACATCTTTGAGCTCCTCCACAATATTGAAAAGAGAATTGAAAGCACTCGCTATTTTTTGGTGGTCTATGAAGTGAAGTCCCTTTGTGTTAAGACTCCTGGATCAGCGAGGTAAGCAGTTGTGCGAACTGCCTCGCTGCTGTGAGACGTCCTTGACATACCCTCAACTTGGTCATTGAATATCTTTCATCAAGGATGAGGAGATTCAGTGATAACAGCGTAATCCGCTTACCCCTGTCTTTCCATTGGTAGGATTCATTCTTAAGGTAGGTGGGGAGTTTACCTTTCCCACGCATGTGACAATAGACACTTGTCTTCCTAATACTCAATGGTGTCACACCACTGATGGCTGTTATGGAGGAAGATACCAGGGGAGATCTAGAAAGTCGAAGGTCTCAATGAAGAGCAGCCTGTAGGAGAAGGAACGAAGTGGCAGGGGGTTGTTCTGGTCTGGATTGAGGTCAGCAACAGCCTGATGGGTGTGTGAGAGGGTGCTGGCTGTGAGATGTGTGGTCTGCAGGGAGGGGGCAGTGGAGAGGGAGTGCATGGGCCTTCAGCAGGCGTTTGGAGGGTGTTGGCTGGAGGTGGGCCTGTGGGGAGCTGCTGGGCACTCCACGCTGTGCATGTCACGGAGGAGCATGGAGCACAGTTTCATGGGGATCACGGAGGAGCATGGAGCACAGTTTCATGGAGACCACGGAAGGCAGCCCATGACCCGGCTGTGGCACAGCAAATGCCCTAGAAGCTGCTGCAGAGCAGCGACCGCACCACACGTGCGCTCCCGAACGCCGGGCAGGCTGCAGGAATTCACGACTGGGCCGAGCAACTGAGACATAGCCAGTTCTCCCAGCAGATACAGGTCCAGGGGGGTTGATCACAGTTTCTTCAGAAGATACCTGAGATTCTGTCCGTAGTAGATACTGCGGCTGACACAAGACACTCTGGAGCAAAGGAAGAGTTCAGGAGGATTCCATTATCTTACAAGGAGACACTATTCACGGAGCTGCACTGGACTTGAAGGAAGCGAGTCAGCACACGGGCCAGCTCATCGGGCTTGCTAAAGGAGCCACACCCAGGGGCGAGTTTGGCTTGTCCAGTAAGTGTGAGGTCAGACACAGAGGTCATGGGTCGCACTCTGATGCCATTCTCAGAGGCATTATTATCAATGAATACATACATAGTCATCACAGGGGGAACGGACGGGGACACCGCACTAGGGACCACCGGAAACAAATCTAAGGACCATCAAGATGAATGTGGCCAATACCACGAGGGCCTTCTCCCATGATATCCACTTAGTTTGACTTCTTTTTCTCTCTCCTGGAATTTAAGTTTTTCCTGCTTATTTTTTTTTTTTTTTTTTTTTTGAGATGGACTTTCATTCTGTTGCCCAGGCTGGAGTGCAGTGGCACGATCTGGGCTCACTGCGACTTCCGCCTCCCGGGTTCAAGCAGTTCTCCCCGCTCAGCCTCCCGAGTAACTGGGACTGCAGGTGCACATCACCATGCCCGGCTACTTTTTTGTATTTTAGTAGAGGCAGGGTTTCACCGTGTCACCCAGGCTGGTTGTGAACTCCTGAGCTCAGGCAGTCTGCCCGCCTCAGCCTCCCAAAGTGCTGGGATTACAGGCATGAGCCGCCCCGCTCAGCCAAGTTTTTCCTGCTTTGAAGAGCACACCCTCACACACAGAACCTCCCTGCCAGCCCCCCTAGAGCCCCCTTCACATAAGATCTCCTCGAGAGGGTTTCTCGGCAGCCAGGATGCCAGTGCTATGGCAAAGGGGAGGAGCTGCTACTGAGGGGCGGTTGCCGTGTTGTACATACTGCTCTCTGCAGCGGTACAGAGGCTTCTTATTATGCTTTATCTCCTATTTTTTTTTTTTTTTTGACTGAGTTTCACTCTTGCTGCCCAGGCTGTAGTATAACAGCATGACCTTGGCTCAGTGCAACCTCTCCCTCCTAAGTTCAAGTGATTCTCCTGCCTCAGCCTCTGGAGTGGCTGGAATTACGGACATGTGCCAACATGCCTGGCTAATTTTTGTATATTTAGTAGAGACAGGGTTTCACCATGTTGGCCAGGTTGGTCTCGAACTCCTGAGCTCAGGTGATCCACTCACCTCAGCCTCCCAAAGTGCTGGGATTGCAAGCATGAGTCACACTGCTGGGCCTTTATCTCCTCTTGGAGAAAACAAATTTATATATCACCGAGTGTCTAAAGAAATCTGAAAGCAAATTTGCATGAAAAATATCTTGTTGCTCCTTCAAAACAGCTCCTTCGGGACAAGAAGGGACCAATCCCTTCCTCTGATTCACAGTTTAACAGCTAATGGAAAGTGACAAAAATGCCTTAAGATCAGTTACAGTGTAAACGGCCAGGACGAGGAAGCTGTAAAGATAGCCTTGTAGCATTTCCTCAGTGACGAAGATAAAGGAAGATTCGCTAAAGAGCTGCCTGTGTGGGAGTCTCCACAGATACAAAGTCTCTAGTCTCTCAGACACTGTCCAGTCCTCCTGAACTGGACACTCAAAACGAAGCTCTCAGAGAGCCAGCTGTCTCTGCTGCCAGCCCCGCAAGGCATGCCCTGGCACCCTCTGTTCTTCCTGGGGGCAGCTGCAGAATTTCTGGTCGCTGCTATCCTTTCTCTGTCCACCCTGGTTTCCTCCAGCCTCAGCCAATAGCCCGGTGATCACTCATGTGTCTCTGCAAGATTAAGTGAGGTGCAGGGGCATTTCTTCAAAACATGACTTGATTGTATTTTTCTTCTTAAATCCTCCTCTTCCTTCTCCAGTCCCCACAGGATATTGTACAGACCTCTCGGTGAGGCCTGGAAAATCTTCACTGCTCTAGTGAACCAGGTTGCGACCACGCTGAGTCTCGCCATTAAGTCAATATTTAGAAGTGCAATTTAGAAATGGCACTAGTTCAAGTTGTCCTGTCAGGTAGATAAAGCGGCAGGCTGAAAAATTGTTCCACAGTGGAGTCCAGTACTCCACCTCAAGCTGAGGCGTTTAATGTCGTTCAGCAGGCCCTCTAGCACCCCACCCAAGGGTGCTGTTGGAGTGTAGGGAGAAATGTTGTCTCTGAAGATGATCCCAAGCCCTAAGTCAAAGATTTCTTTGAGCAGACCCCCAAAATCAGCCAGAATGGTATAACCAGGACCCAGTAGTGTCAGCCAGGAATGAGAGCTGAGTGTGTGCTGTTCCCTCACTCAGTCCCTCCACCCTCGTCTTCTAGTTTAATGTTAAAGGAATTGGTGGGAGTTGGGAGCCACCGGTGAGAAAGAGACTCCAGTGTTCACTTTCCACTGGAAAGCAACCAAAAGCAGAGAGGAACGATGGGAGGATGGAGGGAAACAGGGGATATGGGAGAATAGTAAGATACAGTACAAAAATGCAGCCTGATGGCTTTGGATAAGCAGGACTACCTTCCATGGTGCCAGTAGTCTTTAAGTTTATTCTTCTGTCTAGTATAAAATACAAAAAAGGCAGCTACTAGGGAGGCTGAGGCAAGAGAATTGCCTGAACCCAGGAGGCGGAGGTTGCGGTGAGCCGAGATCGCGCCATTGCACTCCAGCCTGGGTAACAAGAGTGAAACTCCGTCTAAAAAAAAATACAAAAAATGAATTAAAAATAGCAACTTTTAAGAGTTTGTGCTTAAAAATCTTTGGAGTTATAAGTTCACATCTTCCACCAAGCGTTTCGCAGTAACTCCCTACAGCCAAGCAACCACTCACATGCTCCTTGAAAGGTGCTGTGTGTGGGTCTGGGCTCTTGTCCTGGCCTCTTCCTGTGCAGGGCAGGTCTTCAGACCAATAAGACACCTTCTCTGTAGAGAGGCCTTTCCACCTGGTTTCCATCCCCACCCTTCCCAGCAGTGGGCAGGGTGAGGAGTTAATGGGTGGGCATTCGACCCAGCTTTATCATCAACATGATGCCATCTGGGTAATGGGGGCATGCATTGGCTATGGGTCGAGAATTACGGATCAGCTGCAGCCTCTTTCTCCTTCTTGTCATGGTAGGTCCTTGTCGACCTACAGTCAGGCTGACCTTAGAAGCAGAGACTCAGGCACAGGGAAAATTAGGAGCTCA